AGAATGGAAAACAGATTAGACCTATCTCACCCACCATTGTCTTCTTCAAATTGGAAGCAGACTTTTAAAAGAAGAAAACTTTGTTGTTGTAGGTTTTTTCGGGCTATATGGCCATGTTCTAGAGGCATTTTCTTCTGATGTTTAGCTTGCATCTATGGCAAGCATCCTCGGAGGTTGTGAGGTCTGTTGGAACTAGGAAAATTGGTTTTATATATCTGTGGAATGTCCACAGATATATAAACCCAATTTTCCTTGTTCCAACAACCTCTGAGGATGCTTGCCATAGATGCAGGCAAAACGTCAGGAGAGAATGCCTCTAGAACATGGCCATATAGCCCGAAAAAACCTACAGCAACCCAGTGATTCCAGCCATGAAAGCCTTTGACAATACGAAGAAAACTTTCTTTGTGGTAGTGCTTGAAAATGAGCATTGTTGATCATGTGGAGAGCTTCCATGTACAGAGGGTCATTACTCCATCATGTTGCCCTCCATGCAAGCAAATACACACACACACACAAGAAAAATGGGAAGCTAGGTTGCTTCTAGTGTTTGAATGCCAAAATGAATGGGGTGATTCATTGATCACATGATTCCTTGTATCCAGATGCTGGAGTGCAGTTGAGCTAAAAGCTCCTGCTCTGTGGTTGGTGACAGAACTGTGATTCATTGAAAGAGCACACTTGATCCCCAGGATACAGCTTATACAAACATTGCCCTGAAACTGCCATTCATGTATTCCGTTCCCAGTTATACACTGGGGAGCTTAATGTGCACTTAATATACACTTATTGCTCATTTATTGAAATAGTCACATGCAGCAATGAAGATTCAAGTGTCTGACTGAAACAGGCCATCCGTACCATATCCTCATTAAATCCTCTATGAATGACCTCATATCACCAGTCTTTTCTATTTAAACTGCAATTGATAATCCTGTCCCTTTATTCATCGGCATGGCAATTTTGGGAGGATTACATGCCTCTTGACAAACACATATAGCAGTATCGTATGTTCGAACTTTTTGCAGATGTAAATTGGGATATCTGTGGCCTAACAATATCAGATTGTAGTCAAGATTGCAAAATGACTTAACCAAGCAACTGAAGTATGCCAATGATGAACAAAGATTCGGGGGGGGGGGGGGGGAGTGAGAAACCAGGGCCTTTTTAGAGCAGCTGAAAATGTGAAATGGCAGAGGATAGATGGGATTGTTCAGAGTATATACCATGGAAACTATAGGAATAGTTTCTTTCATGACAGGAAAGCAATGTGTGGGAATATTTCAACTCCATGAGCAGAACTCATATTCAATGTATTGTCGAAGGCTTTCATGGCCAGAATCACTGGGTTGTTGTAGGTTTTTTGGGCTATGTGGCCATGTTCTAGAAGTCCTGACGTTTTGCTTGCATCTATGTCAGGCATCCTCAGAGGTTGTGAGGTCTGACCTCACAACCTCTGAGGATGCCTGCCATAGATGCAGGCAAAACGTCAGGAGAGAATTCTTTTAGAACATGGCCACTTAGCCTGAAAAACCTAAACAACCCAGAGCTCATATTCGCTTCATATCTAGTGGACAGCTCTCCCATGCCGCTTCACAAGTATACATATATGCACACAAACATATGCACACACACACACACACATATATATATGGCAGTGTGGACTCAGTTAACCTAGTTCAAAGCAGATATTGTGGATTATCTGCCTTGATTTCTTGGAGTATATGGCTGTGTGAAAGGGCCCTAGATGCCATGGTTCCTTCTTCCCTGCTCCTGATATTTGATCAGCAAATGTTATGCACCTTGAAATATAACTAGGCATGCATACTGTTAAGCAGCCCTTTCAAACTGTTGCCAGCCTGAAGAATGCAATTCTTTCCCAGTATCTTCTTTGGCTGACGCATCACCTTTTGTTGCATTTAGCCAAAGAGAAAGTAGGGAGGACTGAAAAGAAAATCACATCCAGCTAAATCTTTTCCATATGAATCTGCAAATATAATGAAAATTAGTCGTTGAAGCCTTTCATCTAGTTTGCACAATAATGCCCATGACTTACAGCTGGTATCATGTATTATGTAAGTGCCTTTTATTCCTTGAATTAATTTTTTAAAAGTTCATGAGTGAAGTAAGAGTCATAATCAACAATCAGCTTCTGCAACAGAGAGTTAATTCTAACCAATATTTTTATCCACCTCTTACTCTGTCTTCTACTTCATTACTTTTCAAATCGTCAGAGGGTGAAGTGGGGAATAAAAGTCTCTCAACAAAATCTGAATATTAGTCTACCCAGGTTTGCTTGATGCTTTTTTCACGATATGAACTTTGTTCTTTGCAAAACCTGTTTTTTTTTTCAATTCCAAAATGCAAAAGCAGGTTTTCAAAGGCTTTCATGTCTGGAATCACTGGGTTGCTGTGAGTTTTCTGGGCTGTATGGCCAWGTTACAGAAGCCATACACACAAATGCTGGACCACTCTAACAACTACAATGTCTCGTACACAKAGAAGCCATTGAAATACACAAGCATGCAGATAATTTCAACAGAAAGGAGGAAACRATGAAAATAAACAAAATCTGACTACCAGTATTAAAAAAACTCTAAAATCAGGACAGTAAAGAAAGAACAATATTAAAAAAAAAGGGGGGGGGGATTCCAGACAAGAAACAATCAGAGCCAGCTAATAATCTCCTAACAAAGGATTCCCCCAGACAGGAAGCAGCCAAGTCTTGAAGCTGCAAGGCCATTAAATGCTAATAAAGCTGGCCAATTGCAACATTCATATTTGCCTCAAGCAGACAAGAGTTCTTTCTCCCACCCTGGAGATTTATATATCTCCAGGGGTTTATATATGGACTACAGATATATAAACCCYACTTGCTTAGTTTCCAACAGATCTYACAACCTCTGAGGATGCCTGCCATAGATGTGGGTGAAATGTCAGGAGAGAATGCTTCTGGAACATGGCCACACAGCCMAGAGAACTCACAGCAACCCAAATGAAWTTTTTTTAWWAAAAAAAACAGGTTCAGTCTACTCTTTTTAAGCACTAAGAAATTGCATATGGCAGTTTATTAACACAGATGCCATATTTATTTTATTATACTTACAGCCTAACTATGTACACAATGGAACCTGTGTTTAGAGAGAATTTTTAATGCCACTATTCTATTTTGCTGAAGATAAGAGCACAATCTATGTGTGGGTCTTTTTAAAATTAACTCCCAGGTAGACAGAAACGAGGTTCTTAGTTCATACAGATTTTTCTTCAAAAAAGTAATTCCAGCATTTCCAGTTTTCTGCCTCTCGGACATTTGCACTATATTTGTCATCACCCCAAGAGAGGAGATTCATAGCCCAAGACATCTGGAAGATGCCAAACCAGGGGATTGAAGTAATCCCAGACAACTCACCTGTCCTGCAAAGTTTCTGTTTTATACTTTTTTTTAAAAAAAAAAAGCACAGACCATATCAAGGAACAAAGCAAAGAGTATGACTTTATTTTCATTACCAAGCACAAAACAACCTACAATTTCCAAGGACTATTATAATGCTCCATTGTCACATCATGAGCCACAACAAGGTGGGAGGGCCAGGTTTGTTCAGCTTGGTTGCAATTCTAAGAACACAGAAAGCTACCTAAACCAGTGTTTCTTTATCTTTAATCAGTACTGTTTTGTCTACTCTTGTTGGCAGCTATTCTTCTGGATCTTATGCAAATATCTTTCGCACTAGCTGCTCCTTGATGCTTTTTGGATCCATATACATCGCACATCTTTAGCAATATTATTTCACTTTAACTACCACAGGTCCATCCCATTGCATCCTAGGACTCTCAGTTTAGGGAGGGACACCTTGAATTCTCAGCCATAGAAGTCCAGGGCCTATCCAGAATACAACCCCAGGACTCCATAGGATAGAGCCATGGCAGTTGTGTAATGTGGACAATGGGAAATACCTGAAATTGAATCTCCTGGGATTTTCTGCATGTAAAAGATGGGCACTTCTTTTACATGCTAATGAAGCTCCCTCAGCTCAGAGAGTGTGTCAGCTTCAGCTCCCCATGCGGGGACATGAGAGAAGACTCCCATAAGGATGGTAAAATATCAAAACATCTGGGCATCCTCTGGGCAATGTCCTTGCAGATGGCCAATTCTCTCACACCAGAAGCAACTTGCAGTTTCTCAAGTTGCTTCTGACACACACACACAAAAGCTAATGAAGTGAAACCATAATAGTAATCAGGCTCTGAGATGGTCCAGCATAGAGCCTTTGCCTGAAACCTAGCAAGTCAAGTCAACTTTATTTATACCCCGTCCCATCTCCCTTTGGGGACTTGGGGTGGTTTTATTCCTCTCTGCAGTCAGGACATGCCGAAGACCAGGATGAAGATTTCATGAGTGCCCCACACTTTCTAGGCCCAGTCCAAGATATTTTGTTTCCTGTTCCCTCAGTTTAGAAATGTTATTTTTTATGACATGTCCCCAAAATTCCCAGCTAGAGTGGTTATTAACTAAGCTAACTGGGCAATTCCGAGAGCGAGCAATAGTCTTTAAGCATAAATTTCACAAAGAGCAAGATCGTTTCTCCTGTTCCACCTCATGTACAGAAGCTATGTTGAATGTTCCTATAAAGTTCTTTTAATTCGGATGTTGAGGCAGCAGACCAGTTTAATTGTTTAGAACACATTGTGTGACAACAAATTTCTATTCTCCAATGGAGAGGGACATCCAGATAATTGGAGGGGGAGCACGGTTTGGCACAGTTGGGAAGTTTCCACACTACTGCCCCTAGCAACACCTTCTATCTGAGGCAGTTGCCTAACTCTTCCTAACTGTAAAGGTAGCCCTGATACCTTTAATAGCAATAGCTCGTATCTATTATTAGATTATAAGAACCACAGCCCCTTTCTTGTAGAAATGTACGGTGTGATGTTTATTTTGGTAATGGAATGGAGATGGACGTGTGACTCACATGCTCATACAATGATGAGTCTAGACTTACATTGCAGCTTCTGTGGCCTTCCCAGGAACACGACTCTGTGTCCTGTGGGACAATTCCTCTCTGAAAAGTGTGGTCACTGAAGCACATCTGGCACAAAGGCGCTTCAATGTCAGGCTCTCCTTGAGGTATATGCATCACAGTGGGCCCCGGATATTTGAGGCTACTTGTCTGATGTTTTTCCATGTTCACCATTGGGCTCTTGATCCATCTCCGTACCTGTGGAAATAAAAAAAAATTAAAAACATTATCTGATATCTGTATTGTGCCTATTCTGATACCAGCTCTTTCATTTGAAGCACATATGAATAATCAGCCTGTTGGAATGAGCTGCATTTGGGCTTGGCTTTGAAGAAATTGTATAATAATTATCCAAAACTCCAGCTGAAATGAAAGAAAGAGAGAATAGACTAAGTCCAATCAGTGCTTACAAAAGTCTTATACATTCAGACTAATTTATTTATATAATTTACATCCCACTTTGAATACAAGTGTTTGAAAAAGCATTAAACAATGCACCACTTTTGAAGCATTAACATTAAAACAATTAAAATCCAGAATGCCTCCCATATCAATGGGACTGGTACTCTAGGCATTTACCAGGTAGTCCATCATAACTCTATGGTATTTTTTTGGACCAGATGCTCTTCGTTGCAATGGGGTTACTACTGTCTGTGGCAGGCATGTAGGGGGGGGGGGGGGGGGCTTGAGGGGCTTCACCCCCCCCCCCCGAAATTCTCATGGTGGTTCGCGAAAAGGCCTTACTGGTGCAGTATTTAAACTGTTATGTTTATTCATATCATGATCTGATCACCATACTCAATATATCCCATATGCATGGGGGTATTGGGGTAATGATACAAAAGGTTTGCTAGGCTAGACCCTCTTTCACTCAGACTCAGCCTTCCCCCCGAAACTCAGCCCCCCGAAACGAAATCCTGGCTACGGGCCTGGTCTGTGGTTTCACGTATCTATGCCAAACCTAGGAATGCCTCCCCCCACCAGATACAGAGATCATACTGTATTTCAAATACATAGTATATACTACAAATAGTACATCTAATTTGCATATCATTCTGTTGATTTTGTCTTGATTGCCTATTCAAAATAAAGACACTACAGAATCCTTTGCATGACAAGCAACATCTGATGCAACCATTATAAATTCAGTCTGGCGACTCTACTGTCTCCATATGCCGTCAGGATGAAAATCCCCTTTACCACTTCTGAGTTGCTCCAGGAACTCTTGAAAGGGAGTGACCATTCACTCACTGGCACTGGATCTACACTGTCATATAATCTAGGGTTAAAGGAGAGGATTTTGCCCTATCCAGAAATTCAGAAGAAACAAAGAAGACACGAGGCTGGGTCTACGCTGCCATATAATGCAGTGTCTGATCCCAGATTATTTGTATTGCACTGGATTATATGAAGATTATTTGTACTGGATTATTTGTATTGCACTGGATTATATGTGCCATATAATCCAGTTCAAAGCAGATAATCTGGGAACAGAAACTGGATTATATAGCAATATAGATGGGGCCTGAGATGGTCCTAAGTATGGTGGGAATGGTGTGTCCCTCTAGATGTTTTTTGGACTCCAAGTCCTAGAAAATCAACCCAGCATTCCAAGTGAGTTGAGGTGCCATCCAACAACACAGGAATTCAAAAAGTTGCTTTCTACTCCAGTTTATGGATCTGGTCAGCTTCCTGTTCGATAGGGCTAATTTTGAACAAAGCTATTGAGAGCTAATGTCAGAACCCATTATGACCTATAGTCTGTGTACACAAGATATATGTAGCTTTCCTTGTCTCTCTGATTCAAAAGATCCTTATCCACTCCACTGAAAAACCCAACTGCATTCTAACTCTGCTCCAGATTTTTTTTTTAAAAAAGATGTATTGTTGGATGTGCCTATGGAATAGGGGATAGTCTTAAACTATTTTACAACAGGGCTGCTGAGCTGGTCTTTGGTTATAGCAACTGCGCCCAGGGGGTTATGTTACTATGTTGCAGTAGAAACAGGGAGGAGTCATGTGGCATGTTAAAATCTAACAGATTAATTGTCACATAAGAATTTATGGACTAGGAAAATCATCACTGAATGCATGGTGTGTGATCCAAATTTCAGGTATCTGCAGAACACACGTTGGTTCCTGTGCTGGACACGATGCAACTTAGCATAGGATTTGGCATGGTTTGTTTATATCTAGTACAGCCAGAGTTGTGTTTTGAAAGAGGAAATTAACTGCTTGATGAATCATTGAGCCTATTGTTTGTGCTGGGAGAGGACAGCATGGCAACTGGTTGCCAAGGATGCATGGTAAACAAATATTAGGAAACGCAGGTTCCACTGGTGACTCCAGTGAGTTGCTTAGTCAAAAGCTATGGCATTGTGTTAGTCTTTTGGAAATCACAGAAAACCACACTATGGACACAAAACAAAGGAACTCATCATTAAGAGGGTATGCCTATCATTTCCCCTTCGTGCTTCTGTTTCTAATTTCCTTCCCATTACAACTACCTGTTCTGTTGATTTGTTTAAAACTGAACTTCTTTGAAGTTTCATTGAGATTTTAGTCCCCTTTCCTGGATTTTCTGAGGTCTGAATCCTTGCAGATGGATGCATGACTCACATAATATTCAGACTTTTCCAATAAAATTCTTTTTAACACACAAACGGCAGCATGGCAAGTGAAATCATTTTTCCATGATGCAAAAAACCAAATGTGTTTTGGATCTATCTTGTTTTTATAATTCACAATTCCCTAATAAGCTAAGTCTCCTTTTTTTTCATTGGTCTCTTTGGCTGAAAAATTAGACAATTGCATTTTGTTTCAAAAGCCGCAATTTGATCTTTGATTTTAATTTTATTTTGGCAGGATTTCATAATATACATTGTGCCAAAGAAAATTAAGACTGTGATTGTTAAGTATATCATTAAGGAAAGAATCATGAATGTGTATTTTGACCTAGTTAGCCGCTATCTTGACAAGAAAAAAATTTAAATACTTGGATGAACATTCACTTTCTTTTCCAACTCAGTCATGTTTTCAAAGCCATGGAATTATGGGTGTCAATGTCTATTTGGTTTTGCAGTGATGCAGTAACTCTAAACCTTATTAAATCTGCATCACAACCCAATGGAAACTTTCTGCTGATGACATTTACTAGCCGCATTTCCATATGTTTCCACTGTGGCTTTTGGGATCTTTTTGAAGATGTGAATTATTTGGAATTAGTGCTTCTCAAGCTTGCCCATCAGAAGCCTAGCCAAGTCAAGAAAACATATGCGAGGGAGCTTGCTCCTTCATCCAACATGACTGATTTCCTAAGCCTGGCAACTAGACTGACCCCGTTCTTGGCTTACTATAAAACCACATAGAAACCAAAGAGGGATGACTCAGGGAGCAAATAAGTACAGGAAGCTGGGATGGCATTAGTAATCCAATGAGAAACAGAAACAGCTATGGGAAGGGGGTTCTTATAGTTACTTTTATTTATTTACACATACTTAGATACAATGTTTAGGTCAAGCACCACAAACATCTACTGAAATTGCCATCTGTCTCACTGTCTTTTTCTGGCACAGTTGCAACCACTGCCATCAACTGCTGCTACTTGGGTTCCTTGGACAAATATAGCCATCATACATTGAACCTCAGGAATTATAAGATGCATGTACACCCATATGGCACTAGTCAGGGAAACTAGCAACTGTTCAAGTCCCATCTTAAAGCAAAGCTGTCATTCCACAGGCTTCCCAAGTATATGCAGAAAGCACTGGCAATACTACCAGTCTTAAGTGGATGTAGTGATGGATGGAGACATGATTGTTGTGCTGGCTTTGGCATGGATGCCAGTAGGTTCCAATGATCAGAGGCATCAATAGCACTTTATACCCACTCAAGCCTGGTGCCAACGCTGTACACCATCCCCAACTGACATCTGTGGCCCTTGCATTTCCGTACATTATTAAATGTCATTTAGAGATCAGTTGGTCTGTGTGCATGTACTACTGTTACTGTTGTTCCCATGTTTGTAATTACAACTGTGCAAACAGATAAAGCCCTAAGAATCATTCCATCTGGAGTCATTAACAGTGTCATCATGGTCAGCTGCACTCCTACTCCAGTTGCTAGGGATGGTAGTGTTACAGAAGAAGAGCAGAAGAAACTAGAAACATCTAGTAAAACTGGATATGAAGGACTGTTAGGAATCACAGGAAATCAAGAGATTCTGTCTCAAGAAATGGCATCTATAGGGAAAAAAAATATTTATTTTATCAAATATCCCAGTTTGTCTACCACTTGATATAAAATCTATTTCTACAAACCCCTGTCTTTTACTAATGTCTGAAAGTTATGAAAGAAGAAACTATGGAAATGTAACTAGATTTTTTTTTTTTGGTAAGACACAAACTGTTCATGAGGCAATTGCGTATGACTTCTTGGTGCCCATGCAGAACTGTCACCCTGCACCTCTGCACTGTTGTGGTTTTCCCCCTGCCTCATCACATGGGAGGACGCCTTCTTGAGCCAGCTCAACCAATCTTTCCTCATGGAAAGATGGGGAGTCACCCATCAACTTCCGCCAGCAATTTTGCGGCAGTGGCAGGGTGTTTGTGGCAGTTCAGTCATGGAGCCACCCCAGAAGTACTTTTCCAGGGTGTAATGGAAGCCATTGTGCTCCGTGGCTGAAGACAAAAACAACAACAAAAAAACATCACTACCGGATTTTGGACCGTGTGAAGGGGTAGCAAATGAAGAGGTGCCTGCCCGCCCATATATAGATTGGCAGGATGTTTACAGTATACCCCCCTATGAGACAGTTTTAACCAATCAAATATAAACTGATGTCTTATCTTTTACTACAAGAATATTTGCCTGCCAAATAGGCAAAGTATACAATTTTCTATTGTTTTTGGTACATGTAACAGCACTGTTGATCAACCATGGTTTACATGCTTATGAATTTGGGCACATACAAGGTTCCAAAATGCCCCGTCCACTCTAAACTGTTCCTTCTAAATTTCCACAGCCATCCCCATATCCTGTTGGAGTGACGGGTCTGTGTACATCAGGGGAGGGCAACTGCGGGTTAGATTACTGAACCCAGTGAAAAAAATGGTTTGCCCTAAATGCTTATCAAAGCCTTATAAGAGGCACTGGACATTTTCAATTTTGGGTCTACAGATCATTTTAGACTGAGGAGT